CATTATTATCTTTAATTTGTCTTGTTTCGTGATTATCGAAGATATATGAAATAAAAACGTTAAAAATTTCTTTAAAATGTCAGCGAAAGTGAACCTGTTTCAATTAGGGCTTGGAAAATTTCTCACGTCACAAGAAAAAAGTGTGAATTACTTTGAAAGTTTTATCGCTTCGAGGCAGTTTCCCGCGCAAAGTGACGCGGCGCCATTTTTCAACGCCGCGCGTAGGTGCGCCGCGCGCCGTAATAAACTTCCTGCCATATGTCTCACGAGGTGCAGGAATGTATTGTAAAAATTCTAATTTTCTTTAGCACAGAGAAAACTAATAAGTAAGAAAGTAGGTTTACGATACAAAAGCAATTATTTGACTATCGATAAGTAATTTATTTTCCTCAATTATTGAGGACGATTAATCGGTAACCAAGACTGGTAGTTGATTACGTCCGCAAATAATAAGGCTTTTTTTATATCATGAGGTGGCAAACGAGCGAGCGTATACCTAAAATCGCTGAAATAGCAAAGTGACCGTTGCCCATAGACATACGCAAGCGGGCTCTACCAATGTCAAAAGTAATTATTACTGTCTACCACTGTTAAAGGTAATTTAAATAAGGATGGCGTCAATGGAAATAGGGAAAATTAGGATTTATTTCTAACTCCCCCTTAAAATGTTTAGAAACCTCAAGATACTATATAAGATCCACGATGATTCAATTTTCCTTAAATATAATACACTTCCGAAGCTCTGACTGTCTCAGAACTTATCCCCATAAAAAGATATCGCGACAGACAACAAAAGGTGAAAATTTTTATCCGAAACGAGCACCTGCTCCTCCAAGTTGCCGAAACTTTGGCGAAACTTGGGCAAAACTTCGCGCCGGATGTTGTTATCGGCCGGAAGAGCTTTAGGCGTCTTCCTGTTTTGACGGACGTGAAAAAACTCAAGTTAGCGTAGTTTTAAAGTAGAAATGTTTTGAATAAATTACTTCATTATATTGCCGGTATTATGCCGCGACAAATGCACTACACACAAATATATCTAATCATTTAAGTATTATCTTTACTCAAAACACATAAGTAGTGAATCGTTTGTAACATAAATAAATGTGCCGTTCAATACATATAACTAAGTTAATTTGTTTTTTTTAAACATTAAAAACCATGCTGATAAAACAAAGTTTTTAACAATTTCACAAGTAAATAAGATAACAATATACATAAAACAAGATACAATCGATCAAGTAAATTTAAATCAATTAAATTGTAACGCGAATTCCGTGAAGCGACGGTTCATCGATCACTCCATCATTAAGCCGCCTAATCTTACAACTTCCACATTAAACAACAGTTTAAACAATGCTCAGGTATTATAATAAATCTTCCGAATTGCCCCCGGCTCTGAGCTCACTCAATATTTTAAAGGACAACTTTGTCGAAGTAGCAATAACTCTGTAATTTGAGCTTTAAGCGAGCGTAACAAGGTGAAATGGGCCGTTAGTTGTTTATGTAATGGCGTGCAAAATGGCCGTTGTTAGGGCCGGCACACGGCGGATCGCGCCTGATATTAATCCGTCAGATCGTGATTAGATTCAGTGGCACGGAGTAATATATTCAGTAAGGTGTCACAGTAGAGCTGAGCCCTTGATGTATCGAGGTATTATTGAGAGGCTCAGATATGCTTATGCACGTATATAAATAAGCAAAAATTTTACTTTTACACGCAACATACTTAGCATATAGTATGAAAATGTTATCGGACTTACTACAATTAATAGAGTGCTCTAGCCTTTTGTGACTTATTAAAATACGTGAACTAAAGCTTGATTTTGGTGGAGGTGCTTGATAATATTTAATTTGTAACACATAATAAGTAAAAAAAGGCGCTTAATCTTTATCTGATACTAAAATGTATGATATATATTTTTAACATATCGATATCCCAGTCGGGCCTAGGCCGAGGACGGCGCGGGCGAGAGCGGGCGGCGCGTGCCGAGACAAACGCGCGGCGTCTTATCGCAAGCTGCTTCGCTTCACCTTCAGCCAGAATATACAGCCTTAGTTAACTATCCATGTTGTTATAGGCACTTATTGTCAATTAGTGATACTATTAAATAATTTCTAATCCTTGAACCGCTCGATTGATTAACAAAACTGAACGCATATATACTCACTACATTTAAACTGAAAAATACTTATTACTCGTTTTCATTATAAGTTAGCGGTATTAAGCAATATATAGAATTGCTTTAGTTTTACCAACAATATTCGATACCTTCGAATGACAGAACCTTAAAGTACTATAATGTTTTAATATTGTAGATAAGATACGAAGAATTTGATTATAAGTGTTGAATTATCGTCACTTGTCAGTTCAAGTCCGCAAAGTGCGGACAGCGGCAGTGGAGGCCTTAGTTAATCGGCTCAGTTGCCAGGTGCGGTGAGGCGGCGGAGTGACAGACTCCCGACAGCATTTAATATGCTACTAATTTGCAAAGCGGATTCACAACTTCATAATTAAGCAAAGTCCAAGCCGCTGACGATTCATGTTCAAATTATACATTCATTTTGAGTTATTTATACTTAACCTCGACTTTTAAGCCTATTAATGGACAAAGGTAATGCCCATTTTGACCCTAACTAATGCTACAAATGTGCAAAAGTTTCCAAACCGGTAACAATCTGTTTTAATTATCCCAAATTATATTCTGTTTAGCAATACAAATGTTTAAATTATACGATTATTTTCTTACAAATGCCCCAAGTACTAGATCGATAAAGTCTATTTGGCATTCAGCCAAAATACATAGGTACTTTTTCAACCGAGGTAGTAGTACTGCAAATATAAAAATAATAGTCACTGCTAAGTAAAGAAGAATTTTCTACAGCTAAGATTTCACCTATCATGCAGTATTAAGGCTTAATTACGTCACAAGTATCTTCTAATAAATCAGAATATAATAACGTCAAATCCCCATAATAACTGTGTAGGTAGATAATTGCCGCAAGAGGGCGCCGGTTTAGATTACAGGCCACGTCTGATCACAGAGCGGCCGCTGATTCCCGTATTATGGCTTACCTTGTAATTTGTGGCAGCCCTGTCCGTTGATGTGAAATCATATAAAACAAATTATAGGGTTGTCACTTGTTGGATATCAGCTCTGTTGTTACCTGTGTATCCTCATCAATGTTGCTTATTTAATATTCCAAAGAAAACTACACTTCGTATTTTTACGTAAATTTGTGATTTATTTGAAAAAGTTGTATTTCTTGGTGCAACACTTGAGGCATTGTGTTGTTGAGGGGCGCATTCGACCGTTTAGCCGTCGCTAAGCACCTGTAACACTTAACCCCTTTGCAAAACGCTGACGGCCCGCATACGGACTCTTCGACGTGAGACCGAAGCGCCCAGGGCTGTGACATTCATCTCGATAAAAAGGTTCAAAAAACTTATTAAAGTCAATGGCAAATACCTACGCTATTTCTTCAGTCTTCTTGCGAGTACCAACACATTAATGTAATTTTTTTTGTATCTAGTTTAAAAGGACGATATCAAATGATATTGGTAGAAAAGTGTATTCCTCTTGGCTTCAACATCACATAATGTACATGAATTTTAAACATGACTTTCTAAACAATATTGAAAATATGTCCATATATCAGCACAAACAATTCCCTAATAAAATGTCGATACATGAAAAACTCGATAAACGCCGGAGCGCAGCCCTAGTGTATCGATAGTCGTTAAGTAGTCGTTTGACCTGAAAGTCGGATACACCATCGAGCACGCGCGCCCACTCGCCACCTTTTACCGTCGCTGGAGGGTTTAGTGGGTCACTGGAGCAGGTGATCTCGCTCGATCTCTATCGCTTAGCCCTGAAACTATCCACTCGATAGCTCTAAATATAGACGATGTCTTTATCTAGTGCTTCATGATTTTCAACACCGATGTTAAGTTCTTATACGATGTTAAGATATTGTTTTGAAAAAGTTTAAAGCTTAACAACTTTTAAAGTCAAATGGTTCGGTGATTAAATGTAGTCAAGGGCGACTTATTTTTCTATCTTAATTATTCAATGATATGAACTGTGAAATTTGATGTCCCGGGTTCGAAATATTATATAATGGTTAACGAAAGCATATCATGAACCCACGTCACCTTGAATTAAGACTAAAATGCTTTGCAGAATATGGTTTTCAATTGACTTGGCTTAGGTAGATATTTTCTTGGTATAAATAAAACTCAATACACAACCTAAAATGTTTTTTAATTTAATTTCAAAAATAAAATACATCTAAATGTTGCACAGAAAAATGATACAATACGAAAGAATTCACACATTTAAGTAACGAAATGGCTTTTGGACGGAAAAAATAAAAAAGCGAACTTTGTTTACGACACATCCTAAATACTACTTAAATAAAACATGTGCTGAGATTCGTTTATATAAAAATACAAAGTCTCTTCTGCGATATCAGATGCTGGTGTTCTTACAACTACAGTTACATTACGCGTAACATACTTCATTCTATGTTATATTTCAGATCTTGACAAAAAAAACGAACACGCATATTTTGTACATTTTGATATTAGATAAGGTCTCATAATTAACTCATTTACCGTGGTTTTTTTTAGTCCAAAATCATAGTTTAAAACATATTGTCATCTGTTTTGCCAAAGATGATGATGATTTGGTCTTAGAAACCCATGATTAGTGTTCGTTTCATATCCTATATTTGTACATTCACTTTGTTTTCACACATTTTTTATAGGAAATAATTTGGAGAATAAGTAGACATTATGTAAACATTATGTTGGTACATAATTTGATATAATGAAAGTATTTAAATACTCAAGAGACAATATTTCCGCGATGATTCTTATACACGAGATAATACAAAGTAATTAAATCTCATTCATTGACACACACAAATAAAATTCATCATATAAAATAATATAGCAAAATATATATACTAATATACAATTAATTACAAACTAAAATAAATCTTAATAAAGTTATTACATTGTGTCATGCATTTTTATTTAAAAAATACATTGATTTGTTGCAAAAAAACGCATTTAGAGGTCACGCAATTGCAAAAATGCCTTGTAGAAGCAATTTCAATGTTATTTCATAAGTTTTCATTACCCAAAACTTGTACAAAACATATTACTACTTCTCAAACATATTTTGTTCGAACAATAATGACATGTTTTGTACGAGCAGTGGAAACTGACGTTTATATTAAATCTATTTAAGAGCAAATCTGCAAAACTTATACAAGTTACTTATTCATATTGACATGAATTGTGCTCGGACATACCAAATTATATGACAAAATTAAATTTTAAAAATAGTTATTTTGAGATTTCTCGTGATTTATGATTTACGTTTTATGTCATAGAGAAATAATACACCCGGTAAAGTTGACCCTACAGGTGACATATTTATGATAATTTCTCATGGAATGTGACATGTGATTACATAATATATAATAAAACATTAAAGAAATGTAATTTTTGATGTACTATTGATAGAGGAATTGTGCAAGTTGTATCGCTATTAATATCAAATGATCGCATTGTATGAAATAAGACAATATGTAAGTGTAGATGTTGTTGATGTGGTGATGGTGGTGGTGGTGGAGGATGATGGTGCTATATGAAGAACTCCCTGCGCTTGGTGACGCGGGCGCCGGTGGCGGCGGCGAGCGCGGCCGCGTCCGGGTCCGCCGCGCCGTCAGCACCGCGCTCCTCCTGTATATACATACACCACATTTTACTTAACAATTAAAAACTATTCTTATAAACATAAATAAAACAACATTAATGTTTTTATAAAACATTGGCTATTAATTCTGCGTTGACTAGGTTACCCGCAACTTAAAAGAAACAGTGGTTTGTAATATTCCTACAAACATCAGCTACATTCCTGTTAAAATCCTTGTATAATTTCCCGTAGACGTAGTCAGGTCATCGGCGACATTTAGATCACCAGATAGATATGTCTACGCCGCGTTTATTATTGTGTACAATACATAAATGCAATATTAAGTACTCTTGATGTGTGTAGGTTACCTGTGTGAGGTACTCGCCCTTGTGACGCGAGAGTGCGCGCACCAGCACCACCGCCACCACCACCAGCAGCAGGAAGATGAACGCCAGCACCGCTGTACACACACACACGCACACAACATTACACATCGACATCATACCATCTCAATTCAACTATAACCTATTTCTAATTATAGGCTTGTCGTCTGAAGCTCCCCCTGTTGACGCTAATAAATGTCTCAAGATCCTCTTTTTGGTCTACGTATACATGTGCATGGCATTTTTTATCTTTCATATTATTTTTTATGTCTAAATAGGTTTGATATATATATTCTGTCAGAACCGACGCTTTAGCAGCGCCTCACACCGGTTCAGATATCTTCGACTATAAAAATTAATATTTATAAGGAAATATGAGAGGATAATGCAAGGTACTGACTGCCGAGGATGGCCTCGTCGGTGCGGTGGAAGTCGAGCTCTGCCTGCAGGTCGTTGGGCGGCGGCGGGCGCGTCTCCGGCGTCTCCGCGGGGTGCGTGACAGGCTCCACGCCGCAGAAGTCCTCGTGCAGGATGCCGCCTGCACACATCAACACATCACATTGCTTAACTAACCTACAGTTAAACAATTTCGTTCGCCTCCCACTAAGTCTCTTTAATGTTCTTGCAGGCCCAAGGTCATCGGGCGCTGAGCCGTGTTCTCCCCTCCGCATCCCGGGTACACCCGAGATTGTTTACTGCGCAACGACTCGCGCAAATTTAAGTGTTGCCAAGATATATGAAATAATTGTTACCTATGGTGCGCACGTTGGGCGGCGGGTCCTGCTGGAAGAGCAGCTTGAGGGGGTAGATGTCGTCGAACTCAACGCGGGAGACGCAGCCCGCGAACCCCTCGCTCATGGACTCGTTGCGTCCTATGTACATATACTGGATGTTGTTGAACTGCGCGTCCGCAGACTCCTTTATGTTGAACCTGTACTCCTGCGTCTCGTAGTTGTCCACCTGCACAACACACGGCGTTACTCAGACCAGCCAACATTGGGTACTATGTTGTTGTTTGTATGTGTTTGCATGTGTAGGTGGTACCTGGAGGACCATGGTGGCGCCGCTGTCCTTGCGCGAGAGACGCACGTCGTGGTACTGGCCCATGCCGAAGTGCTTGCCCTGGAAGATGATCTCCTGCCGCTCAAATCCAAAGTCAAACACCACGCGTAGATATCCTGCGCACAAATACATACACAATTTAATAAATTTTTAGACAAAATTGAACACTTTTTTAATTAAACACACGTGACACCGACCGGAGTTGGAGACCATGAGGGTGAGGTACTCTCCGGTGATGTTGGAGAAGAAGCCGAGCAGGAAGCCCTTGGGGTTGGTGGTGGTGAAGCCGACGCGGATGCGCTCGCTGATCGTAGACCGCCACGAACCAAGGAAGTCGTACTTCACCATAGAGTTGGGTCGCAGATTCACACCGATTTCTAAACAAATAAATATATTTCTATAAATAATCATGTTCACTGAATCAAAGCCATGAACATAAGCTAAAATAAGACTTAAAATTTTCTTCGTAAAATGTCCTCTTTTGGAAGCTGGGTATAGTAAGGTAGTGGTGCTGACCGTCAGCGCAGATGGGTCCCTTGAAGGCGGTCCAGCGACAGTCGCAGGTGTAGCCGTCGTAGCGCTCCAGACAGGTGCCGTTGTTGAGGCACGGCGACGACTCGCACTTGCCGTGGCACCCCTCCGACACGCCGTACAGACCTTACCACACAACACAATAATACATTTATCTACATATTAATTGATACTTAACATTTGACAAGGAAAATGTATACTTAATCTAACTGAATATTATAATACTTATCTAGTATTTCACGTTGTTTTTGGGTAAATAAAGAGTATCGTAGTCTTCTTGATAAAAATGTCAGGGTGTGTTGTTTGGGAGAGTGGGCTGGTGGGCAGGTGGGCAGGTGGGCAGGTGGGCGGTACCTCTGCGCGCGTACGAGACGAGGTCAACGGGTCGTCCGTTGAGCAGGAGCGCGCGCACGCAGCCGACGAAGCCGTCGGTGCGCTCGAGGGAGGCGCCCAACGCCAGCGCCGTGGTGAGGTGCAGCGCGCGCACCGGCTCCTTCGCCGTGCGGATCTCGTTCTTCAGCGCGCCGTCCACCACCACGCGCGCCTCCTTCCTACACGCACATACACATACTGTGTTATTGGGACAAGCCATTACATATGGGAATTGCGGGTACGTTTATGATGAATATAGTGGCGTACCTGTTGCGCTCGATGGAGACGGAGTGCCAGTTGTTGTCGGCGAGGCGGCTGCTGGTCTCGACGGAGACGCCGAGCGGCGTGTCGCCCACCTGCAGCTGGAACTGCAGCTGGTCGCCGCCGATCAGCGACAGCTTGATGTAGTCAGTCGGACCCTGATCGCGCACACACATACACGCAACATTCAATAACATCACTTTAGTTTCTCAAAATATGCATTAATACATTTTAAGGCGTTACATTTCTTTAAACTTGTTCAACGCAAGTAGCGGCGCCTTCCTAAGAAAATTTACCTTAGCGTGCAGCAGGACGGCATTCTCCTTGGTGGTCTTGAACTCGAAGTATATGTCGCCGCTGTGGCCGAGGTCGAAGGTCGGCAGCGAGATCACCGCGTCGGAGATGCGGAAAGTCACCGCATTGCTGAACAAGTCTGCCCGCACAAAAGCACTTCACTTACGCTAAATCTATACAATAAATGTACAATAAGAAATAGAAAGGTGTCGTGCAGGTGGTGACGTACCGTCACCCTCGCAGAGCAGCGGGCCGAGAGTGTAGCGGCCCTCCTTCTCGTCCAGGTGGCTGCCGGTGTCGCCAAAGCGCAGCTGCTTCACCGGCAGGTACTCCTTCTCCGTGATCTCCCCGCCGTCCACCTGGAACTCTGCAAGATTTCTCCTCAACGTCTGCCATTAAGCACCCGAATACGAAGCAAGGTAGAGACGACGTGTCGTTACAGAACGTTGATAGGGTTTTTGTCGTGATCACATTGGGAGTTCACAGTGGAAGTTAACGAGGTGAAAAGTATAAGTACAAAATAATGTTTGTAAAGTGAGTTACCTTCAGCTTTGAGCGGGCTGTACTCGGCGTCGCAGTTGCACCACTTGGTGGGGTCTATGCAGCTGCCGAGCACGCCGCAGCGACACATGCGGCTGCCGGGCGGAGCGCCCGCCCACGAGTCCATGCGCTGCCCCGCGCGCGACACCCACCACGCGAACGGCGCGAACGTCGCCTCCTCGCCTGACACCCGCACATTACACTCACAGCTTATGTAAACACGCTCACATTTCTATCACAAGTTCGTGGGACCGCATTTGTCATTAAATTATTGCAGTAACAAACAAAACTTTTAAGACAATGTTTAGGTTACTTATATCCCAAATTACGCCTGCTCGTCATAGGATCTGGTCAAAATGATTTGTATAGTAAAGCACAAGAAACTGACTGGGAGAGTTGAGGAGCCTGGAGTGCCGGCACATGTAGTCGAGGCGCTGCGAGCAGGTGTGGGAGCGGTTGAGGAGGGCCTCGAGCTGAGCGCGCGACGCCTCGTACACCACGTCCTGCCGGAAGCTGCCCGGCTCCTGGTACCCGTCCACCGACGAGCCCGCCACCGCTGAGTGCGACACCTCCGTCACCACGCGGCCGTCCGCTGCGCACATACACACACATACACAACACCATGTCAGGACACAAGTACTGCACTAGAGTGGGGCAGCTGTGGTGGTGTACTGACAGTGCAGGCGGCAGGTGACAGGGAAGGCGGGGAGCGGCCCGGACCCGTCCACGTCCACCAGCACGTCGGCCGAGCGCGACGCGCCCAGCGCCTGCTTGTACGCCGCACAGGACAGCGGGTGGATCGCTGCACACAGACAAACATTATATTATTTCATTGTCCCCTTAATATTTGAATTATACACATATATGAATAATCAATAAATGAAGCAATACATACAGGTGTGACAGACGGCGCCGGCGTAGCCCGTGCCCTGGCAGTTGCAGGTGAACTCGTCCGCGGTCTGCGTGCAGCTGCCGCCGTGCTCGCAGGGGTTCGGGTTGCACCTGTATAAACATGCACATAATATATTTTACTCTCTGTGTTAAAACTATAAATAAGTTGGTTATAATGAATAATAAGTTAACCTATCGATCATCTGGCAGGCGTCGAAGACGACCTCGTTGGGGCAGCAGTACTCCTCCTTGGTCCAGTCTGTGGGCAGCCGGTAGTTGCCGTCCACCGCGATCTTGCGCATGCACCCGATGAAGCCTCGCGGCGGGGCTTTGCCACCTGACACATGAAACATTTCATACAAAGTAATAATTATGGTATAAAATCTATACTTTAGTTTTTCTAGTTTTTGTCATAATGTAGTGGCAGAGGGGCTGGCTGAACTGACCGGCGATGTAGTAGGTGGGTCCAGTCTGGAAGCGCAGCAGCTTGGTGGTGCGCACGGGGCGGCGGTCCAGCGCCAGCAGCAGGGAGTCGGGGGCCAGGGTGAGCAGCAGCGCGTGCCAGCGCCCGTCGTTCTGCGGCTCGGGGAAGTTGTCCAGGCGCACCGGCCCGCCCACCGTCGCCCCGCCCCCGGGACCGCCTCCAGTCGACAGCTCCACCTTCACCCTCCCCTCCTCCAGGTAAACCTGCACAAAGGTAGCAGTAATTAAACCAAAATAAACGCATACAAATGAAGCACAGAGAAGAAGAAGAAGAAGAATGTTCGTCGCCGCCTGATGCAACCAAGTCTAACTATGTAGTCGTTACCTTGACATATCCCTCAGTCTTGAACTTGTGGTAGATGAGCAGGGCGTGGTGCTCGTATGTGCGGAACTCGAGGGAGACGTTGAGGGTGGTGGCGCCGGCGTAGCCCCGGAGCCGCGCGTACGACCCCTCCTTCAGGAAGGTGATGGGCACCACCGGCGGCTCCTGACACGTGGCAGATATAACATGACGTTCAAATTTCTTTATTTAACCAACATTACGACAGCAGTAAAATCGCTAACATTTTGAGTTTATTTCTTTCGTAACATGCCTTGTTGAACAATGACTCACAGGACAGTTGTAGAGGGTGTTAACTTTCTGGAACTTGAAGGGTTCCCCGGAGTCGTAGCCCTGCTTCACCTCCTGGATGACGTTGGTGGCGTTGAGGTACAGGTTCTCCACACACCCGGTGAAGTTCTGGTCTACCACCAGGCCCTCTTGGAAGTTCGGCACTCCTCCGATGTACAACTAGATAACAATGTTATGTTTATTTCTAAGTAAATATGCATCCACAACTAAAACAACAATATTTTTTAAGATAAAAATTGACAAAATTCGACAATCTGACGGGCCATGAATGAACCCATTTTTAAGAAGCATAGATATGGAGAAAAAATTAAACTTGTTAACTTAAAGGTAGTATAACATTGTAAATTATCTTTGTTTCAAAATCGGTTGAAATTTTATGACTTACATCCGAAATCAATATTCGAACTCAAACCATGCTTCTCTGTGCGCGGACGCAGTGTTTTTGCTCCTAATCTTTTTTGCGTTTGGTTGAAGTTTAATAATTGTGAAAGCTGCAATAACAATCGAAAAGCAATGGATGGAATATTGATTTCTGTCGTTAGTGAATGTGTGAGAGAGAGTGAGAGAGAGAGAGGGTAGTTACCGCTCTATTGAGGTTGAGGCGCGAGAACTCCCCCTTGACGCGTCCGGTGACGACGACGCGGTCCACGGAGAAGATGAGGTCGCGGCGATGCCGGGACACCACCACGTCGTGCCACATGTTGTCGTCCAGCAGGCTGCCCACAGACACTGACGTCGCCGTACCGGACCCTGGCACACCACAACTACCCTTACTATCACACTCGCAGGTAGAATACGAAACATATTGACAAAAAACATTAACACAAGAGACATTTTTATATTTTTCTATTGAGTATGTATGGGAAGTGTATTGTAGTTTTGTAGTGTTCACTTAACATTGGGCAAACTCCTTGTTTGCTTTTTAAAAAAATATAAAACAACCCTCAATCGAGTAAAGGTCAACAATAAATATAACAGCCTATATCTGCGTACGTCGTTTGAACTGCTGCCAATAATATCATACAAACATTAAGTACGTAAATGTTCTTTTTTTGGCAACAACATGCAAACTGCTCAAGGACCCTTCAATACCATATCAAATATATTGCTCATAAAACTATGTTTCATCATGTACAACTACCGCGCTTCTTAATTAAGTACCCTAAGGCAAACAGATTGTCGTCTCTGTGTGCAGTAGTTAGTCAAATAAGATTATATCATTTTCTTTTGATATCGTTCTTCAGTATCTTTATTCTCTTCGAGTATGTTCGTAAAATGTTGTTACTTTGAGAATTATAACTAAACATTATAATGTATTATCGTCAGCAGATATCGACCACCAAGTATCTATCAACATAAAGCCGCAAATACTATTTTAATAACACATTTCGTATTTATATTGAACCGCAACTCCGCACAACACTACGCGGTTTAGTTTTATGCGTAATCATTTATGACTTATATATATATATACATAATCTATCAATTTTATAAAAAGAAGAAGTGGCTTAGCATTTAAATATTTCCACTATTCAGGATGTAGCTAGCTACTTAAAACGAAGCACGTGGTAGAATGTGGTTCACCACAATATTGTAATAGCGGGTTTGGAACCTACGATAGGTAGCTCGGTAACCCTACCCTTAACCGGTAGGTTACGTAACCGGTACGTTTCAAATAGATACTCTAATTTAAATAACAATGCGATGTAGGATCATCCAGTATCCGCAGTGCATAGACAAAGGCTATTTCTTACCGAGGTCTATATTGAAGACAAGCCTGTTATCCCGTAGCTGCAGCGCCACGTAGTCGCCCTGAGTGCCGCGCGAGTACAGCAGCGCGCCCGACGCCGTGCTCGTCTTGAACCTGAACCTGATCACCTCGCGAGACGCGGAGATCGGGTCCCGCAGCAGGTCCATCTTCACCAGTGATGATCCGTTGAAGTATAATGTATCGGCCACTGAGTGACCGACAAGAACATTGTTATATACGACGCCAAAATAACTTTGCTTAGTACAGTCAGCTGCATAAATATTTACAATTCTTCGAAAGCTTGTATAGGCCGGCAGTTTCAAAAATACTTATGCAAGTATTCGTCAGGAACATGTATTCATGGATAGAAGCATACGAACCGATTCGACCATACATATTTTTAAAACCAAAAGCGTATACAAGTTTTTGAAGCTTTGTAAAGATACACGTATTTACGCAGCTGAGTGTACATGAAAATAAGTACCATTTCCTGTTTTTAGTAATGTTTATCGAAGTAAACGGTCACTTAACACTAGACCTGATATTTTTATTTGTCCTATTTACTATAGAAAGGTTACAATTATTAAACAAACAGTTTGAAAACTAGTATACTTCTTCTTTTCTAGCCATTATTTCCGACGGTCAATTACTGATAGTGAATGTTATATCATACCATAATCACAACCGTAGATCTCAACGCGCATGGATATCTTGTCCCGCCATCGCATCGGATTTATCCTAATGTACTGAGCTATTATAGGCACTTCGAATTCATTCCGCTTCACTGTGTTGCCGTCGTGATTGCCTTCGAACATCTACACACCAGAAAAAAAACATTTATCCTGGGTTTCTGACAGCAGCAACTCTGTATAATCCTTGCCCCTTCAATTAAACTACTACTCTTTGATTGAAATAGTTGTTAATATATTTGTTAAAAATATAAACATGTTGTTAGTAATTTGAAAGGTATTTAAAATAACTAAGGTCAAGTTGCATACTAAATACTAAAATTAATTCTAACTGACGATTAACGGAAATAACTAATAAATGTCATGAAGTAGGTTCGCTAAACACCTCTTATTTCTAAGCTGATATTTCTGCCCAGTAAAGGCTGTTGATTATTGTTATTTTTTTAATGAAAATATCTCCTGGAAACGGCGCCAGCTACTAAATATAATACCTAGAGGTGAATATAAAAAAGATATAAAGCTTGAAGTCAAAAATTGTTTTGAAACATTTTACGTGGTTCAATGCACCCCGAAAGGGGATATTGATATTGACCCAACATAAACTAAGCAATAACCATCACCATGGTTACGACGACATAAACTTTTATAATCAAATATCATGCAGCCTTTCACCTGAATGTAACCATCCGAAGATGCAACCTCCCGCCAACTTTCCCCATCGTCCGAGTACTGTATCATAAACTCGGAGACATATTCCTGAGTGGCACAGCGCCCTCTGGTGGCGATGCCGCGCAACTCCTTGCGCGCTAGCAGGTTAATGGTTAGGTGCTGAAAGTATGACGCCTCCTTCGCCGTCCAAGCTGACGAACCTTCACCGTACGTCACCAAACATTAGTGCAAAAGCCTAGCATGGTTATACAAAGGTTATAGGAGAGTGCTAAATGTATTTAAATTGTACTCTGTTAACTTTTTAAATCTTATTTTATAGTAAACAATTTATATAACTTCTAAATAAAACATATTTTTGTTTAATTGAACACAAAGACTAAATAAAACGGTTAATGGAAACTGAAAGTTAATACTTTTTTCAATTCAATTTTTACAATTTTCATAGATATATAAGTTTTATCAATGAAACCAGTACCAATATCCAGGCAAAAATAACTACAAAGCTTTCAAACTACATGCAAACCAAAGTATAAAAGTGCGATGGTCGGCTACATTGTTATTCTTGTTAGTAACCACATCCCTGATTTGTTTGAGGCGATTTACCTTGACCTCGCCTCCGGCCGCCTTGTACTGGACGTAATCAAGTCCATTGGAGCCATAGCTTATGTGGTACTCCTGGACAAACTCTTGGGAATGTGCTCGACCCTGGGTCGCTATTCTCGTCACATTCCTCACAACTCCCAAGTCTATGACGAGTTGCTGGTCAAAGTCACTCTCCGAAGCCGTCCACGCATTTAAACCTTACATTGATATAATAATTTTTTAACTCTATTCCTAATAAATTCACGGCAAATCAAATAAAATGCAAACATTTTAAAACCTTTATTGCGCTACAATGATTTAAGCATGCCTATGTATAACAGGAGAAGAAAAAACATTTCTCAACACAACATGACAACCCCAAACCCACGCGAAAATTCTTTAACCATACAATAATAATAAAAAATGGATAGTCAATAATCAGAAGATCAAAACCTGTACTAATCTAGTCAAAATTATTACTAAATACTATAAACTATTAACGAATTAGCTAATTTAATTGTCTGTTGTTCTTAACTCTTTAACTTTTTTAATCAACATGTTGTCTGTAAATCGAGCATCAGATTGATAAACAGGTCTTGCTTCTCTTACTAAATCTTCAAAACTTAATAATGTAAAAGGTTGGGGATCCAAGGTCACATCATTCCCAACAGTGTGCAAAGAAACGGCCACTGCATGTTTCTCATCAAGTAAAGTCTCCTCAAAAGTCCAATCATTCCTTAAAACATTTTTAAGATACAACTTTGTGTCTGTTACAATTTCATTAACCTTCAACGGTGTTTGAACAGAAAAGCTGATTAAATCCAATGGAATAGTTATTCCAAAGCCAGTATTCTTGACATAACTCTCTTTGAGACACCACATGCGGTAGAAACATGCTACCTGCTGCATTTCTGATGGATAACGACGTATTGTAGACCATTCATGCTGAGAAAACTGTCTATTCATTATACGAAAGAAGTCTGGTATATTTTTATTCACTGGTGGTTCTATTTTCATTATATCAACCCCAACATTGGTACGAAGATTGCCTGCCAACACTGTATAATCTCCTTGATGAGAAACATTAAAACTTGGCAACACATTTGAATCTAATAAATATGGTTTACCAGTATTATCTCTTCCTAATTTAATAAAATCATATGGAATATTTGCTGATAAATGCACAAATTTTTTCATCAAAAGCCTTCCAATCAATGAAGATTTAGCATCATCTTGGAAAATAAATCGGACTATCCTATCCTTCTCTTCAGGCTGTATGTAACTGGAAGCTGCTAATAATTCCTCTCTGCTAGGTTCCCATTTGCTAACATTAAATGCCCATCTAACATTTTCAAATGCCATGCTTATGTCAGTGGGTTTTAAGATATTTCGACTTCTTTGTACTGTCAATTTTCTGGCCCAATGAAAGACAATTTTATTTGGTTTTTGGACCTGCAGATGGAATAATCCTGTTTAGGTTTTTCGCATCCCTTTCCTAACTTTAAAAATGGTATTCATACTAAATATTCAGAAATTATAAACTACAACACAGGCATGCTTAAATATTCTCAAAAGCATATTTTCTACAAGTGAAAACAATCCATATAAGACAGTGTTGTAATTTGTGTGAAATAAATGCATCTTAATCAAATATTTAAAAAATGGGAACAACAATGATTTTTGCCAAATTGTAACTCTGCAAGTGTCACAACATGTAAGGCCAAGAGGAAGGAACCTGTCCTTAAAAAATGCTCCATTGCATCCAAATAACACAGACAAAAAAAGATGTCAATATCTCATAACCTCATTATAAAGTCAATTTGGCACATTATGTAACACATTTATTTATAAAGATTCCCTAATTTACATTTCCTTGATCCTTAATAGATAATATGTAACATATTACCAAAATTTATTCGTTTTGCAAAGCTATTTACTTATGTGCAAACTTCTAACCGAACTACCAAAACAAAATTTATCAAGCACATTTTAAATAATTTCTAAAAAGTAATGTTTACATTTCGGAGATATCAACTGGGAACTTACCATATAACTTAGCATTATCTGGACCTCTATCTCGCAGACTGGAAGTGGCACTCAGTTTAGCATTGGCTACTAATGGCTCGTTGCATTCATAATCGTAATAATATTTCAGTGAATCTATAAACAAGACAGATATTAAATTGATCACTTTAAATATATTCTGTTAGGTACAACATGATCTGTGTTTTAATGATTAAAAATGGAAAAACAAAGCTGCTCACCTGCTTTACAATTTGTTGTAAAGGAAATCAAAGCAAAGAAATAATATAAGAAAGCACTCATCATAATATCATGCTTTTTTGGAAAGTACTATCAACAGCGGTCATTAACAGTCACAAAACGAATAAAATTAATACACAAGGGTTAAATTGTTTGATCATTACGCTTAGCGTTGCTTGTCACCGGACAACACCCAAAACGCCCAAAACTGAATAACATTTCAGTTGAAAAACTGACAGGCCTACCTAATAAGATCCAATAAGAATCGTAGTATTTTTGAAATAACCAATAGAATTTCTGTATCGGACAATCAGGCACAGAGTGCATAAAATATTGAAAACAAAGAATAGCATATTATACAGGTACTCTTTTGGAAATGAAATTGTTGGTAAATTGAATTTTAAAATCAAAAGTTGGATCCTTTTTAATTTCATAAGTATCATTTTAATATTTTCTTTTAATTTCTAATAGTGGAAAAGATTTGAAAATGCTGAAAACGGAGGTGTAAAATTTATGCTGATTAATAAATTATTTAATGGTGAAGTAAAAAGTATTTTTCATATCAATTTGTAATCTATGTGTTTAGCAAATGGTATGGCAACACCAATTATTGATGTGATTTGTAAAAGTATTAAACTTTATCATTTTTCACCTATTTACGTAAAATTTATTAAAATAAGATCTCATACGATCCGGTTTTCCAATCACATTGAATGTGTAAAAGTGAGGAAGTAAAGTGCAACGTAAATATTTGTCTCGCATTTTATACGCCCATTCCATAAAAGTACAGTGCCATTACGTTCCCGTTACCTACACAATATTCCAATTTTTGTGTTTGCCACGTTTTACTGGCAAATGTAAGAAGAAAATAACAAGAACATGTCAATAGAAGCTTTATAGAAAGAAATTCGAAAAGGTAAATGCTATGATGATACCGCGGTGAGTCATTTAATATCACCTATGCGGTGACATCTTCCGCAGTTTACCTTGTGCTCATGTCTTAAAATCAATAAAAGTCTTCGAAATTGAATTAATTGTAGATTTAACGTAGGATGAATATTTGATATGACAAATTATGAATACACATTAATTTACGCGATTTATGCGTAGTAAATTAAATGTAGGTATAGCCGGCTCGTCGAATTTTAAATTATTGTATCGCAATTACAAATAAAGTATTTCTGGAGATGCAAATTTTAAAAAATTATGGTAGATTTTCCATAATAAATAATAATACACCGTTTTTGTAATTATTTTAAGAAGCCGTGCATATTTTTATGCGTAATTTCTACTTACATTTATTTATACTTTACTAGCTGTGAAACACGACTCTGTCCGCGCGGAATTAAAAAAAACTTAATAAGTAGTCTATTTCTTCCAGTCTATGTTCTACATCTATGCCAATGATATGAATATAAGTAAAAATAATCTATATATATAAAAGAAAGTCGTGTTAGTTACACTATAACTCAAGAACGCTTTTACCTATATGGCTGGTGAGGAGGTAGCTTAGAGCCTGGAGAGGGACATAGGATACTATTCACTTTCTTTTTTTTTCGAATTTATGCCTTGAAGATCTACTTTTTATTTAACTATCAATGTTGTTTTTAATATATCTATGCGGACAGAGTCGCGGGCGACTGTTAGTTTCTAATGAAAATAGTAAAATATCTAATTAATTCATAGATTGTGCTTCACATGTCTACATAACTTAATCTCATGAATATAATATGATAATTTCAGCCTTCATCATGTCTAGTATGTCAGATCGTAAGGCTGAGTTGGAGAGGAAGAAGGCAAAGCTACAAGCTCTGCGGGAAGAAAAGGATCGACGGCGGCGAGAGAAGGAACAAAAAGATGCTGAGGAAGCTTTGGTTAGCAAATATTTACTATTTATTTTGCTCAACAGATGATATTACTTTGTATCCAAATCTTACATTATGATGGCCTAAATTTCTTGACCAATTTTAAAGTCTAAAGTATTAAAACTGTAAAAGATAAAGTTTGCTTTGTGGGGTGATATAGAAAGGAAATTAAGACTGTTATAAATCAACCTAACACTTAATTTGTTAGCTTATTATTAACAATCTATAGAAAATAAGCTCTAATGGTGTAATTTGCCAGAGTGATCCTCTGTTATTTATTGCCAGGTGCTGAAAAAACACTTGTTTGGGTCATGAAAATTTTTTCATCCACTACAACATTAATTAGTATGTCAAATTGACATGCTACATTTTTTTAACAGCAAAGAGCATCGGTTGCATCAAGCCTGGACAGCCGACGTGATCTGGATGAGATGCTGTCTTCACTAGGTGTAGCGCCTGTGAAGGATGTGTTGTCCTCCCTATCCTCCATGACGTCACTCACGCCGCCACAAACCGCTTCACCTGATGCCAGCCTGCCACACACGGACAAGTCCAGTCTGCCTGCTCAAGGGTAGATACTCTAGTGTATAATATCATTTATACAAGTGCAATACAAGTGTTTTCAGAACTAACCAAAAGTTTACAATTAGAGATGTCAATGGCAACTAAGAAATGTATACCAAATTTGGGCAAATAGAAAAAATGCTTTATAAGGGCCACGTCTTCTGAAGTCACATTTAAGAATTTTCCTGAATTGAAAAGCTTGTTTTCAACCGAAGTTTCAACATTCGTATGCTACTTTAAAACCCATCAGGTTGTAAATAAAAACTAAGCAAAATTTCACACCGAAATGAGTGCAGTAAAAACAAACCCTTGTTAAATTCAATTACAGTGGACCGAAGAAGCCGCCGGCGTTGCAAGTTGTGTCGGTACAGTCGACGGACATCCCGCCCAAGGAGAGTGTGACATACGCCAAGCAAACACAGACCACCGCCTCGGGGGTCACCGAGCTGCGAGATGGTAAGTGTTGCCGTACTGTTGTACACACTGGCGCCACCGTGCTAGGGTTTGTGTTTTGTTTATAACATAAATAACAAAACATGTTGTTTACAAGTTAGAGATTATTAACATTATCTTTATTCCTAAATGTTAAACTTAAAAATTAAAATTTTCTTTACTTTTTACCGAGAAATAAAAAAAGAACACTTTTTATTCTATATTTATTGTAATTTGCCAATTTAATAAAATAAAAAAACTAGTGCAATACTTACTTGTATACAACATTAATTGTATGATGATTTTCTAATGTAAATGTTTTTGTGAAAATAAAAATAAAGGTCTGCCCACTGGAGCCAACATCTGAGTATTGTGGCTTAGGTGGGCAGTGATGCAAATTCTGCAATTACTTTCAAATTATTAATACTAAAGTTATTTTGAAAGATCACGTTTTTATTGATGTAAGAATTTGCATCAGCCCTTTTGTTATTAAAGTTAATAATATTAATAACTAAACTTGTGATGTACGGGTGATGGTTTAACAATATCATTTGCAAATGTATTACCACATGGGTTGTCTGTGTTGCCAATTAAAAAAAACATTTCATTCATTTTTTCGTGGTATTTTTTTTAAAGTATTTTGTTTAGAACTTTTATTCTTATTTTTAATAGAGTAATAGTTGTATGAATTTTTCGTTAATTATTTAAAATATTATTTTTTAAACTACGTTTAATTAGTAAATTAGGTGGTTATTTGCAAATGAGACCATTCTTACTGTAACCAATGACATCTGTAGTAGCGTGGGCAGTATTTACTTTTCACGCGTCGTTTTTGTTTTAGGCTTTTATCTGTTGCCTGAATACAAAGTAAAACATATCTTAAAATTATTTGAAATACTTTAGTAATTAAAAAAAATAAAGTTCCATTTCAAGTACTAAATACTAAAATAAACATAAAATTGTAATAAATCCGTTCAGGCTGCGGATGATTTTGCAAAAATTTTGGTTTTGTCACTCCGCTTAAAGTGTTCCGTCTCGCTCATCTTCGTGCTGTCTCTGTCTATGAATTAATCTGAGCAAAAGTAAATACTGTTTTGAGTCTTTGGTGCAATGTTTGTGTTTGTGCTACCATAAAAAAAGGCTGCTCTTCCAATGCATCACCGCTTGCAGGATACATGGAGGACTGGTGGCGGCCACGTAAAGGTAATTTGAACTTTATTAACATGGCACTACGACTACGTTTGCACAAACATGGTAGAAGCACTGTCAAACAAGTATCAAACATTTGAAGAAGTGTTACGATGAACATTGGGACAGTGTTGTGTACTTCCAACTGCATTGGCTATACAAAATGAAGGCTAATTGCATGATATGTTTTTCGTGACGTCACACGACTGAAACAAATTACCAATATAAAGACAACGCATGGTTCCATTTTGTGATATGCATGGTTTCATAACAACATTAACAAGAAATCATTGTGAATGTCATATTTATATAAATCAATTTAAATTGATAAATAAAAGAAGATATTTGTAACTTAATGCAGTGGTAATTATATGAATAAAAGAACTTTTATAAATATTTAGAATTCACTACTGCCTCAAGTTACTGTTTAATTTTTACTATAATGATGAAAATATTTAGATGACAATTTTGAAGCACTTAGTTATAAAAATGTTGTAAATTTTTAATGAACAGTTTGTTTTCATTTTTGTCCCACAACAGCACACGCCACCGACTACTACGGTAAGTCATTATTCCTGCCGGGGCTTAGTTTGACTCACTCTAACATGTACTTGAGTACTCGAGGTGTCGGATTGTAAACTAACTAACACACGATATTGGAATCTAGTCTTGTACATAGATACTCTTTCGATCACGCTTCTAGATGTTTCCTAACTAACATTTTCTAGGTGCGTTTACATCAGGTTACTTGATAAGTTATTGTATATTTGTACAAAGCGGCCGGTGTAACAGATTAGCTATCAAGAAATCTGATCTATTCTCTCCGCGCTGGGGTATGTCCATTCAGAACTAATTAATTGTCGTATGATGTGGTTATACATTCCATTACCAGTATAAAGTGGCCTTCCAGAGTTCTCCACGCGGTGTTTCAACCACAATCTGGCCGCAACAATATTATTATAAGCGCACAGAATATATAAAGTATAGTATGTATTCGATGTATGGTGGTGGTATGGGGTTGCCATATCATCTCACGCCCACTCACCCTCCGACTCGACTAACCTGCACAGGTGTTAACGTGGACCCATTTGATTGGACTCAAGGACTGCTCGTCGCCGCCGGCCTTAGTTCTGCAAACAATAGTGACGTCACTAACCCGCTCGCT